AGAAATCAATGTAAAAAGCACCTTTTTACATTGATTTCTTATTATTGCAAGAAATCAATGTAAAAAGGTGCTTTCTGATGCTTAACTCCATTATTTTCAGTTCACTAAATCTCGCATCTTATCACAGAAGTTAGGCTCTAAAGACTTTTGGCAAATCTTCAACAGCATTGTTAACAAGGGTAGATCCAACATTCCATCTCTTATTCATGGGACTGATCTTATTACCTCTCCCAAGGATAAAGCAGAACTATTTGCAAAGAACTTTTCTTCTAATTCCACTTTTGAATCTTATAGACATTCTCCTCATTCCATTCCAGTCAAACAGGTTGACCTATTGTTAGACATTCAAATCACTCTAGCTTCTGTTGCTAAAGTCATATCTCAATTAAACTCGTCTACAGCTTGTGGTCCAGACAACATTCCTGTCACAGTCTTGCAGAATTGTTCTCCAGAACTTTCTTCAATTCTCTCTAAACTATTTAACAAGTGTTTGACTGAGTCTTGTTTTCCTGCTTGTTGGAAAATGGCATCTGTAGTTCCAATATTCAAAAACTCTGTAGAAAATTCTGACCCCTCCAATTGACCCCTCCAAAAGACTCAAAGACCTTAGACAACCTCCAAGGTCTTTGAGTCTTTGATCAACAAATTCCTCACATCTCATCTTAAGTCAAATAAACTACTGTCAGACAATACGGTTTTTGATCCTCTCGCTCTACAGCCCACTTGCTTACTGCTGTAACCGAAAGATTTTATTGTGCATTAGATGAAGGCGGTGAGGCTAGGGCTATTGCTCTCGACATATCTAAAGCTTTCGACAAAGTTTGGCATGCTGGTCTTCTCCATAAGCTTGCTTTATATGGTGTTTTTGAGATTATCAAATCATTTCTTTCTAACCGGTTTATTAAAATAATCCTTGAAGGCCAACATTCTTCTTTATTTCCAGTAACTTCTGGGGTTCCCCAAGGTTCCATCCTGGGCCCTGTTTTGTTTCTTATCTACATAAACAATCTTCCTGACAACCTTTCATCTAAAGTAGCTCTTTTTGCTGATGACTCAACTTTATACTCCTGTCTTGACAAAAAGCCTTCTCTTTTTGATCGCCTAGAACAAGCAGCTGATCTTGAATCCGATCTCACTTCAGTAATAGATTGGGGTTCACAGTGGCTTGTGAATTTCAACTCTAACAAAACCCAGTTGTTAACTGCAAACAACTACCATAATATGGTCAACATTCCTATATTAATGAATGGCAATCCTCTTACTGAGTCCTCCTCTTTACGCCTTCTTGGATTATCGCTTACTACTGACCTTTCATGGAAACCATATATACAATAGATTGCTAAATTAGCTTCTGCTAAGGTTGCTTCTCTTTATCGTGCTCACCATTTCCTTACTTCTGATTCCATTCTCTACCTCTACAAATCTCTTATTCGTCCCTGTATGGAATACTGTTGTCATATTTGCTCTATAACTATGTTCTTTTTTTTCCTAGTAACTCCCAACTTAATAGTGGTTGCTTGCAGCCTTGTTAGGAGTGAATGCAAATAAAAAAAAAAAAATCATGGACATGTACAAAGATATCAAGCTACCTTGGTCACTCCCTTAGTTACATGGCTAGAGCTATTGGACACAGCCGAACTGTGATTAAAAGCTACGTGTATAGCCCTCATATGTATGAAATATTTTCATCTTTAAAACGGCAAATTCTAATTCGGGTCATTAATTTCCTTAAAAATCCAAACGTTGGGATAGGTTTTTGATTCTATCCGTAATTTTTAAATGCAAATTTTGATCAAGTATTAGAGAGACAATTGATGAATCTAATCTTTTTTCAGTAGACCTAAGGTAAAATAATGATATACAATTAAACTTTTTATTCGCGATTTTGTGCCACAGTCTTCATTTTACCTCCAAAAATCATGAATTTACAAGTCAATAATTTTGAACAAAATTGGATAAACAAGGCATTTACTGAGACAATCGAGTCTTGAGGGTGCTCTTTTTGGATTCTGCAAGTAAAAATCTCTAGGGGTACCAAATTTGAGAAATATTCCCCAAGCCATTATAAAGATACTATATGTCAAAGTTGCTTTGTAGTCGCTGCAGATAATCAATAAAATGTTGAGTCAGCATTATTTAATTGACGATATCTATGGAACCCATGTGTATTTTAAACTAAAATTTTTGCAGTAATTATTTTTTTAATATGAACAGCAAGTGATGTAAAAATGAACAAATTCTGAGACAAGGGTGTCATGGTCTGGGTGATTTCATATGAAATGACCCAATATGTATGTATGTATGTATGTATGTATGTATGTATGTATGTATGTATGTGTGTGTGTGTGTATATATATATATATATATATATATATATATATATATATATATATATATACATAGATGACTTTCAGTGCAACGTCACATCCTTTTGTAAACAACATGTGCACACATATTTGTAGGCCAAAAACATTAAAACTTTTAAAGTATACTTTCATATATTCATAATATAAATTCACTTTATAAGTGTTTTTTACATTTCTTTTATATCTTTAAATAAAACTGTTTTTTTTTGAAAAATGATTTAAATAATTAGTTGCATAAAAAATAATTACATAAATAATTATTTAAATAAAAACATCATAATTGAATATTTTTAAGTACTAGTAATTTAGCATCATAGGTGCAGTGGTTAGAGACACTTAATATTGCCAATTGTAACAAGAAGTAACAAATCAACAGAAAATGGTAGGAAAGTTAACAGCAAATGATAAAGACCAAGTTTTAGAAAAATTATAGCATTGTCAAAAAATTAGATAAATTTAAAAACATTACACTTATGTTAGAACAAAATGAGTTCAGTACAGTACAAAAAAAAGAGAATAAATTTTTAAATCAGACAATAGACAAATTAAAACTAATACCCTCCTTCAAAACGTATTTAGATTTTTTATCTGTAAATAATAATATAATGCTTTTCTATAAATTTACTTTTATTTTTTATAAATAATCAGGGTGGTCAGCAACTTAAACATCCTGCAAAAGTCAGAAAGTTAAATAAATTACGCAAAACTCAGGACATTTTGATTGATTTTGTTGCAAACTAAAAGTTATTATTTAAAATGACAATCAAAATAAGATTGAAAAATGTGTATTTTTAAAGTCTCATAATTACATCATTATTTAAAAGCCAAATGAGGGCACTTTTAAAGCAAGTTTATGTTTTTTGGTAAAAATAAAGAGCTATGAGAAATTTTTTGTTGCTTTGTATGTTAAAGTTTTCAGGAAAAGTCATGGAAAATGAACATAAAGGCTGGCCACCCTAATTATATACATTTATCAATAATATTAAAACAATCAAAGGCATTCATATTCAACATGGTATAATCTAACAGATTTTGTGATCCTCATAGTCATATAATCACCAGAAAACATTTTTTTATATATTTTATAGATCAAATTCTTTTATTCATGAACATTATCTATAGAAACATTAGAAAGCTGCCTAGATTTTGCATCCAGATAATTGTAGTCTTTTGTAAAAGCTATGATTTTTAATATCGCTCCAGTACAATTTTTAATATAGTCTCAGTGTTGAATTAATAATAGTAAATTATAACTCAAGCTGGTATAGAAGGCCTTATTCAGCAAATTAATAAATATATAACCTTAAGATGCAATCATATTATTATAAATAAAAAAAAACAAAATAATTATCAAATAACAGCAGTAAGTGATAAGAATCACCACTCTGTCAGCACGAACATAGCCACCAGGTTTAATTTTTCCCAGCTGGTTTTTAATATATATCAATTAAACATTTAATGGTATTGATATGTTTATAACTAACTGTCGCGAAGTTAAAAAATTTTATTTTGTGCTTCATAAGAACAAAATAAAGATGGTCCTCCAACATCAAGCGTGAGTGAAGTAAATTCTAACTTTTTTAATGAGCTACATCACCATTTAGGATAAGTCTGAAATAAATTATTTTGTTTATCTGATGTTAGATTTTGGTATAAAAAGTGTTTACTTTGTTTAAGTTGACCTTATTTTTCAAGTCCAATATTTCAATTAAGTTAAATTTAACTTTAAGTTAAATTAAATTAAGTTAAATTAAATTAAGTACTGTATTAATTGAAAATAAAAAGTTTAAAATTCTGCTTTATAAATATTGTTGAAAATATTTAGAAATAGTAGACTTATAATTAGGTGGTTTAGTGTCAGAATTTATTTTCTCAGTATAGTTATCAAGCTCTATATTATAGATGATAATACTGATATAGATCCTCATTTATATACTTTATCATACTTTTCTCTCTTCTTTTTTGGATTGAATTAGAAATTGAAGCAACTTTGTTATGTTATGAAATGTTATGGATTGAAATGAAATGTTATGAAATGTTATGGATTGCTTTAATCCAGTCTCTACATCTTCCTCTTTTAAAAGCTGATTTTCTAAAAAAATCTTTATAAATTTTAAATCCACATTAGTTTTAACATCTTTTGGAGTAACTAATGACATAACAACTAATTGAAATAGTTTAATTCTTGTTAAAAAACCAATAAGTGAATAAAATTTCTAACAAAACATACAAACATCTTAATTTTTTTTGCTGAAAAATATCTGATTTATGTTTTTTCTGCCTACAAGCATGCATGCGCATGTTTTTTTGAAAATGAGAATGTAATGGTTTTCCATTACATTCTCATTTTCAAAAAGAATTCAAAAATGTATTTGCAAGTTATATATATATATATATATATATATATATATATATATATATATATATATATATATATATATATATATATATATATATATATATATATATATATATATATATATATATATATATATATATATATATATATATATATCAAAGCAAAAATATTTAAATTTTAATGCTTTTATCTTTTAATAATATATAAAAATTTATTGGTAAAGTTTAAATAAATTTTAATATTCTATTCCAAATAAAAATAATTCTATTCCAGACCTGGTAAGGTGACGCAAGCAAAAGCATAACTATTTTAAAGATAAATGTTAGGTTGCCACCAACGTTAAGAAATTTAGCAAGAGACTCGGCAAACCATCCAGGTGTTTTAAAGTCTTGAAAAATATTATTTTGTTCAAAATCTTCAATTCTTTTAACAAACGAATCAAATTTGCCAGCAGCACAAAGAGAATTCAGTAAATGTATACTGCACTACAAGATAAACTTTAATTTAAAATAAAAAGTTTTTACAAATCATTTTAAAAATAATCCTAAATAAAAAATTTAAATTATTATAGCACTGATACATTTTGATGCCACACGCAACAAGACAAACAAGAAAATTAAAAGCTGTTTCATACATAATAATATAATATATAACAACCTCCACAAAAAATTAACATATATATATATATATATATATATATATATATATATATATATATATATATATATATATATATATATATATATATATTAATTTATAAAAATAAAGAAAACAACTTTTTATGGTACTAATAGTTTCATGCCTAAAGGCAATCATCAGCCATGTAATACAAAACAAGAAACAAAAAAACCCCGTTAAAATATAAAGTTACAGTGTAGTGTGCTCCGTCGTCAAAACAAAACAAAAACAAAAAGATAAGAAAAAACTAAAAACGGCTGCCTAATCACCCGTATCGAAATTCGAAAGGAGGAATTTGCTTTTATGTCTACATTTAGATACTAATTCATTCCTCTTATTTAATAAGTTATCATAGGTGTACAATATTATGAAATACTTTTCGTATAGACATAAGTTGCATCGTTTTATTGTAGGATTGTAAGATCTACAACGTTTTAAAATTTTCCATTTAATTGTCGGGTTTACTCCATTTTCTTTTAACTTCCATACTTCCTTAGACAACTCAGTATCGTTTTTATATTTTTCGATGTTAAAAGATTTTGTATGATTAGCGTATCTAAGTTTAAAAGCAGTTTCACTTACTCCAAAATACACTTTTTCAATCCTGTCTGGAGTGCCTGGATATAGAGTGGCTTGATACACTATGTTATTAACGAGGCATTGTTAATTTAAAGGGCACTTGCTTTTAGTAATACAACTGCAACTTTTATCTGATTCTGGGGGGATGTTTTTCATAATATGACGGTTATGAAAGTTAACAATTGATTTAATGTTTGGCATACAACTGTAACTCACCTTTAGAGTATTTCTATTAAAAATCTTGTGGTATTTATGGCCAACTGGAAAGTGCTTGTCAATTAAATCCAGTTGTATGCCAAACATTAAATCAATCGTTAACTTGGGGGGGGGGGGGGGGAATTTTAGTCAGAATGTATAAAATGGGAGGAGGAAATTATAAAAAAAAGCCGGATGATTTACAATGAAAGTTTTATTATTTATCGGAAACCAATATATATATATTTTTATTTTAAGGCCAATTTTCACTGAATTTTTGTTTTGAGATAAAGTTTTTTGTTTATAACAATTGACTTGTTATAAACAAGTAACACGATTTTCAAAATGAGCCCCATATCGCCCATGCAACCTAAAATTAGTTTAAAAATAGGACATTTTTTGTCTGCTAACCCCCACCCACCCCCCACCCCACCCCCGCAGTTTCGCCACTGAGAGTAGTACTGACATTTACTTAAAACTAAAAACAGAGGTGTTCAATTTAATAAATTTTAGTTATAAAGAAGTATATTTAGAAATATATTTTTTTGTCTTTACTTTTATTATAATTTAATTGATTAAATAATAAAACAAAATTTAAGTTTTTAGCCTCCTCCCCCTCCTCTTTTAATATAGATTTCTCCTAAGAAGTAAATTACCAGTGTTTTTATTGGTTGATTTTAAAGTGAACGCGCGTTTTTTCCGGACCGTTAGTAAGATGTTTAGAAATGCTAAACTGTTTATAAAAATATGTATTCGTAAAAGTTGCTGAGATTTTTAACATTGTTTAAATATCCATTGTATTTTTTTTAGATGCATTACTACTTTAATTAAAGTTTGGAATTACTTAACTAAATCATTTTTATTTATAATATCTTGGTTATGTGTTGTTTGATCAAACAATAAACTATAAATGTAACTTAAAAGAATGTTATAAAAGTAACAACACTGTAGTGTTATTACTTTTGTAGTCATAAATTTATTGTTTTGTTTTTCATAACATTTTCACTAACAAATTAAAGTTTTTTCGCCTATTCCGTAAATTTCGTGGTTTTCCATAAACTGAAACTTTGAAGACCAGATAATTTAACAGATATCGCAAATCGCGATGCGTTAATTCAACCCTTGATATATATATATATATATATATATATATATATATATATATATATATATATATATATATATATATATATATATATATATATATATATATATATATATATATATATATATCACATATAAAAATATTACAGTTCTTGTTAAGAAACCTTACACAGCTCAAATTTTACATACAAAAAAGCTATTTGCATACGTGCTCAGCAGTTTAACATTTGATAAAAACTTTTTAAATTTGGAATTATTTAAATTATCTTTTAATTTTCATTTATGTGACGGTTATTCAGAAAATATTAGATCGTAAAAAAATACGTTTAACTGCAACTGTAAATTTTTTTTTATCATCTGCTAACTCATTACGTAAAAATAAGTCTCCCCATCAGAGATTTAATGTCAAATAAAACTATCATCAATGTCAAAAGATTTAATGTCAAATAAAACTTTTTTTCTTATAAAAAGGAAGAAGTGTATTTGTTTAATTTTTTAATTTTTTTAAAATTATTAAAAAAAAATTTTTTTTTTTTATTAATTTAAAATTCCTTATAGTTTTTTTGACATTTTCAACAATTTATTTATGAATAAAATTACATTTACAAATATCTTATTGGTAATGATAAAATCCATCTATAGACTGTTTATAATCTTTATTTAAAATATTTATTTATGAATAAAAAATTTATTTATGAATAAAATTACATTTACGAATATCTTATTGGTAATGATAAAATCCATCTATAGACTGTTTATAATCTTTATTTAAAATATTACATTAAATAAGTAAAAAAAATAAAAAATAAATTGTAATAAACAAATAAAATATTACGTTAAGTATAAGATGTTTTTAAGAAATAAAAGAAAATAAACATTAAAAAAATAAAATAAGGAAATATAATCTTTTTTTAATACCAAATTTGGATTTTGTCAGTAATTTTTGTTAAAATTAGTTTTAATGATTTTAAACGCAGTTTAAAATTAAATTAAATTACAACATTACACAAAGCTGTGTTAAAAAGTTACATTACACATTACAGTTATTAGCATTTTTATTATGCAATAAAATCTCATAACAAGGCCTGATTATTTATTATTAAATAAAATCTCATAACAAGGCCTGATATATTATTTATTATTAAATAAAATCTCATAACAAGGCCTGATTATTTATTATTAAATAAAATCTCATAACAAGGCCTGATATATTATTTATTATTAAATATTGTGATCTGTTTCATAAAAAGAGCTCAAAGCAAAAATGTTTTGTTACTATAAAAGACCATGAAGAAAATTATAATAAATTATTGAAATATAATTTAAAAAAATGTACTTAAAAACTGAGCAGAAATATTTTGAATTAAAATTAAAATCATCTGAAAAACTAAAATGACATCTCAAACTTAATAAATAATTTACCTGATGCCACGATATCTTAATTATCTATTTAAAGATGTTTCTATTGATTATATTTAAAGATGCTTCTATTAATTGAATTAAAAAATTGATTGTATATCAATTGCTTATTTATAACTGTCAATTTTTTATACATAAAGCTTAATTTATTTACAGGTCATTTGCAAATATTAATTGTATTCTTAAAGTGATCCCCAAGTGCCAGGACAAATTGTGCTCATATCATAAATAATCCTTAAAAATTTCATGTTCTGAAAAGTTTCAAACTTTTCAGAACAAATTATTTATCAAAATATCAGCAAAATAAATTATAATTTTCAACACCATTTTTTTTCTCAAAGGTTGATTTCGGCTTGAAATACATATATATATATATATATATATATATATATTTTTTAAATACTGGTCTGATTGATGAGTTTTTGTAGTTAATAAATGACATCAATACAAAAAAGTTTAAATAACTTAAACTCGAGTAATAAATGTTATGGTTTTCCATTATGCATTTAATTTTTATGTAAAAGAATGCCTTTATATAAAAACTTATATAATAGTATAATAACCAAATAAAAATAACAATAAGTAATCAAACAAGTCTAACTTATACTTATTTTATTTTAGAATAAAACTAATATTAGTACTATAAATGTAAGATATGTAAGTTTAAAAATCACACTGATATTTGTTAAAAACAAGTTCTGCTAATACAATTTTAAAACCAAAAGTACTTTTTTTTTTGGATTTAGTAAGAAATAGTGAAAATACATTTAATTTCACGGTATATGAAAGCAAAATAAATTAGAAAAGCAGTAATCTTTTTACTTACATTTTCATTTTGTTAAAAGTCTCTGAACTAAAATGTTTAATGTAGCTCGCACATCTTTTTACAAAAGGGGAAAATCTAACGGGGAAACCCAAATCTAATCTTATTGTGTAAATTGTTGAAAAAACTCTGCAGTAAAAAGATTTATTATTCAAACCAGATATTTTTACAATGGAAATAAATACCCAGATTCATGGAGTTAATATTAATCTCTCAACTGGATAATGGCAAAGTAATAATGCTTTTTGTTAATATTTCAATAAATAGTTTTGGTAATTTTAATTAACTCAAAACTTATTTTCTAAAGTTTATTTACAAAATAAACAAAACTTGTCTCACTCTTGGGAATCCCTTTAAAATAGGTTATTTCTCATTTATGCCATATATCAATTTTCTGAAATAAAATCAAATTATTTAAATACTTTTAAGTTCATTTATAAACAACGACGTATACAACAGTTCATCTAAAAACAACAATGTATACAACATAACTTAAATAAAATCTACCTCTGGTGTTGTTTTTACATCTTTTGCTTTCATAATACCATACAATTGTTCTGCCACTTGCAAAAAGTCGGGGCCTTTTTGGCAACATTCAACTACCAAGGCATTCCATGACTAAATATACATAAATATATACATACATTTATGTATACACAGACACAGCAAGAATGGAATTTAATCATATGTGATTTTTGCATTTTATTTTAAACAACTGAAACAAAAATTTTACTTATTTATCATGGCAGTCACTTATTTATATATTTTTTAATTTATCATGGCTGTCACTTATTTATAATTTATCATGGCTGTCACTTATTTATAATTTTTTTAATTTATCATGGCTGTCACTTATTTATAATTTTTTTAATTTATCATGGCTGTCACTTATTTATAATTTTTTTAATTTATCATGGCTGTCACATTTATAATTTTTTAAATTTATCATGGCTGTCACTTATTTATATTTTTTAAATAAAATTATTTAAAAAAAAAAAGTGTTTGTTGTAAAACTTTAGCTACTTTTCTTAATTTGCAGGTATTAATTTGCATGCACATAAATTAATTATACAAAACTGTTTCAATAATAATTTGTTTATAAAATAAATATTTTTGATTTTTTCAGTTTATAAAATAAATGTTTTGGATTTTTTCAGTTTATAAAATATTTTATTATTGATTTTTAGTTATAATTTTCAGCAATAACATTTTTGAAAAAAAAAAAAAAAAAAAGACATTAAAAGCACTGTTTATCAAACAGTATAGCACCCAAAAGTAAATAATTCCTTGCTAAACAACAAGGAAATATTTATAGAAAAGTCCAAGAACTTATTCTTTCTATAAATAAGTCAAGGAAATATTTATAGAAAAATCCAAGTGACAACAATTGAACAATAAATACTTCATTTTTAGTGGTAGAAGTAACTGTAAAGAAATACAAACAATATGAAACATTTAACTTTTTAAATTTTTACTAGATAAGTACAAAAGCTGAAAACAACTTCAAAAGATGATATAATATGATTAAAAATTGATTTGAAAGCGCAAAAATATAGCAAATTATTTGAAAAACTTAACAGGAAATACAATTTCACTAACATTAATTAGAATTGGCATTCATAAAACATGGTTTAGTGAAAATATAGCTCATTAAAAAAATATTTTTTAACTAAAAAATCATATGAAGAAAAGAATGAATTTTGCAAAAAAGTATTATTCAATACCAGTATCATTTAAATAACATAACATAAGTTCATAATAACATTTTGTTCTTTAGTTTGATGAACCCAACTTCAACTGACTTTATAATAACATTTAGTTCCTTAATTTGACGAATCCAACTAGAAGAGGTAAATCAATTATTTGATGTGACACTAGCAGAAATTGAAAAGAAGTCTATTAAAATCTATTAAAAATGACAGGTGAAGATTACAAGTTTTAAGAGGAGAATATAACATCAATATGTTTTATAATATTTTATTACAATTTCAAGAAAAAAATAAAAAAACTGAACTTTTAAGCTAGTTCCCCTGAAACACATTTTGAAGCCAAGTTCAAAAGAGTTATTCAAGAAAGTCTTAATTCAAAGAAAGCTAGGGAAATGGATTCTTTTGAGATGAAGGCAAGCTGCTCTTTTCAAGGATTCAAAGAAGAAAGTCTCCAAGTATCTGGAGAAATAGAGAAATCTTAAAAATCAATACTTCATTAAAGATTGAGATATATTTTTGTAAAAAAGCTATTTTTTTTAAACATACTAATAAAATGAAATCAATGTTAGTGAAAGTGATTCTCTATCAATAAATGAAGATGTAAAAGCGTTTCCAAAGGATAACTTCAAGGCTTTATGTTATTATAAAATGACCACAATTTTGCAATGGCACACAATTCCACTGGCTTTTAGACTGATTGAAGTTGTTAAATAATATTATCCAAAAATTATCGAAATTTAATAACTAATTTATCCAAAAACCATCAAAGTTAAGAAATATTTTTTACTTTTAAGCCCACATTATTAGTTAATTGACGAATCCAACTTTACTGACTTATAATAATGTTTAGTTCTTTGGTTTGATAAATCCAACTTGGTTTGATAAATCCAACAACTGACTTTATAAAAACATGTTTAAAGTTTAAAAAAACAGGGGCAAAGAAAGAGGGGCAAAGATTTTTAGAGTTATGAGAAGTTAAAGATAGTGGTGGAAGTGTCTTATGAGATAGTATGGCATAGAATGTCAATTTAAATAACAAAATATTGAACTGAAAAATTGAAACCTTTAAAACAAGTTAATACCTAAATAAAACAAGTTTTTTTTCAAAGATTTAGATACTATAGAGCATTTATAAAAAATAAGAAGATTTAAAGAACACTGTTAGTAAATCACATTGACAATAATCAAATGTCTAGTAGAACCAAGGAAAAAATGCTAGATGTAATTATAGCGAAAGGAGGATCAAGTAAATATCAAAGTATATTAATAAAGTATAAAAAGGATTTTATTTTTCAGTTATTTTAATAAACTATTTTTTTTAAGTTTAAACTATAATGCTATTATTGTACATTTATTATTAATGGAATTCATTTCATATACATGGAATTCTTTCATTACATCTATTCTTCAACAGTTCTTTTTAATGCAAGTGTTTTTAGCTCCTTATTTATTATTTATTATTAAAAAATGACTCTGTATGATTAAATTCTGCTCTCACTGGGTAGTGTGCATACAAATATAAAAATTGACTTAAAAAAGTCTTAAGGCAGTATATAAGGCAGTATATAAACTATTTTTAAAAATATATTTTAATTTAATTATATATTAGCAATATTTTGCTGACCTATTGTGGTCAGCATTATCAGGTAATGAAAAAAACCTTTAAAAATTTCATAAAACAAAGCGTTAAAAAAGGAAACCTTAAAAGGTGTAATATATACACATCAGTCGAATAATATAAATGATGTCAGACAAATTTTGTCAAAAATTATCTTATTAAAATAACCATAAACTATTTAGACCATGATTCAAAAAATGCTACATCAAAACAATTAGATAATCAACATTTTGTTAAGCTACCTTAATTATTGGTCTAAAACTCTAAAGTGAATTTAGAAAAAAAGTGAATTTAGAAAACAAAGCATAAGAGTAATATTTACATAAAAACTTTGAATGGGTGTTTATCAAATTAAGTGCTCATGTAGATGTACATATATTGGCGAAAACAAAATAATAATAATTTAAAGAAGCGTTAAGCACTCAATACTTTTAAAAATGAAAAATGAAAAAGTTCAAGAGCATTCAGAAAGTTCAGGAACATTATAAAACATACCCTGGTAACTTAGTTGGCTAATTCTTAAGACCTTGGCAGTCATTCTATAATACCAGACCAGAAAAATTAGGGAACCCAAGGACATTAACAGAGCAAGAGATCGAGAAAGAAACTAGGGAAATTGTTTTCAGTCAGGTTATCCTGCTAATGGAAACATATAACCCAGTAAAACCTGCTTCAAGTCCTGCTGACCTGTAGGATACAGTTTTTTGGGCAAATGCTAGGAGATGCCAATTCAAACTTAACACATGACTGTCCTGGGGCTCATGAAATATCTCAATATAAATGCTCATTTACATTCACTGAAAACTCACCTATTTGTCAGGAAGCTAGGTTTGAATCGACAGACTATTTTCTTATGTGCTATCATTTAGCACGACTTCACTCTATAACTTTCTCTTTTTTTTATATCGCTTTTCTTTATCTCAAGACTGCACTCTTTTCAATATTATTTTGAATAAAATTAACGAAGCCCGCTTTCTTTATCCTTCAGCCAATATTGTTGCTGTTGGTGATTTTAACACTTATCAAACTGAATGGCTTGGCCTAGTGTCAGTGACTCAGTAGGTGTTAAGGCTGACAACTTTTGCCTTTCTCAATCACTAACTCAAATAGTCAACTTTCCAATTCAATTTCAAGACAACCCAAATCAATTACCTTCTCTACTTAACTTATGCCTTGTTTCTGATCCTATTAAGTGCTCAGTTTCTCTTCATTTACCCTTAAGTGCTTCTGATCACATTTTGATCTCTTTAAAACAATTATTTCATTCTAATTTATCACTAGAACCCCCCTATCATCGTACCTCTTACTACTACATCAAAGATGACTGGGACACTTTCCATAATTTTCTTTGTGATGGCACTTGGGTAGAAATCTTTCGCCTTCCTAATAACAAATGTGCTTCTTAAAAGGACTACCAAGTCCTGAGACATGTTGTGTTCATATTAAAGAGAATGTTAAAAAAAAACAACTGAGCAAATTTTTTTTGATTAAAACTAATTAATAAATGTATACCAAGAAAAACAAATCTTGTTGTTTTAGTCGAAGCTTGTCTTCTCCGTTTTCTCTGGTATTTTGAGTATGTAAAATAAATGCGATTTTCCAGGCGCATTATACAGACTTGATAATTTATTCAAGCGCGTTTAATTCATAGGAGTTTTAGAGCATGACGTCATTGGAAACATTCTAGAAATTCTTTAAAAATTTTACTATTAAATTTTACTCAAATAGCTAACTATAGTTACTTATTTTATTAAAAGTTTATTTTATTAATTGTTCGTTAGTTTTTTACAAATCAAACGAACAATTAATTAAACCAAGCACTAAGAAAAGATATAAAAATTAAGAATATACTAATAAAATATATAATTTGTAATTAACTTTCAAAATATTGACAATTTAAAAAATATATATTATAAAACATTTATTTTTGTAAACAAATGATAATAGTTTAAAAGTTTAATGGCTTTACAGATGTGGCTCCGAGAATGAGCCATAATATTAAAGTAATAGTTCATTTGATAATATATTCTTAAAAAAAATTATGCTAGATATCTCAAAACGCAACAAATCGTAAATAATACAATTTCTAAAACATTTCAACAGAATACTCTAGAACTTTATTTCGCTTAGTCAGCGTGTTTTTTGAACCAATAGAATTAGTTTGTTCGCAAATTTGGCGGGTTTTTAGTGTTCGCGAATATTCTTTTTATTCTTCCGCAAGATGTTTTAAGAACATTAAAGTTAATTATGTTTCCATGTATGTCTGTAAAATAAAAATTAATATATATTAA